AAAAAAAGAAGACCCCCCCCTCCAACTTTCATTTAACTGCATACGTGTATAAAGAATTCAAAGAGAACGAAAAAATAGAAGAAAATTGTTTGATTATTATTGAACAGAAGGATAAAAGTTATTAAATAAATGACTTAATATTAACCAAAATGAATTCTATATTGTATACTATTGAATCAATCACGATAGATAAAAGTGATTTCAAGATGATAGTATGGTGTATACTGCTGATATCGACTGATCGATCAGTTAGTCAGTCAGTCAGTCAGCTACAACGTAAGATCAGGCATATATATGGCTCGGTCCAAGTTGCCATACCACCTTAGCACAGCAAGATGAACACCGGATTCATAGGAGTAGTTAAGTCAATAGTGGTAATATATAAAAGAAAGATTGCATATAGGAATACAGTACAGGAAGAAAGATTCAGTACGTAGAAAGAAAGATATAAAGTGATTTTAACCTCTTTGTTTAAGGGGAAACAAAGAGTTTACTCACCAACACCATGGTGATCGATTCTCAGCCATGTCACCAATAGTCTCCAAACACTACTGGTTACGATAGTCACACGTCCCCAACCAAGTAGTCTGCATCTATTAACATGGCTAAGACTAGAAGTTAGTGATTTCAAACACTGATGACACATTTCGGCTTTGCCGCCTCTAACTTTCTTCCAACCATCTCCAACACCAGCCAGCGTTGCACGTCGTGGTAATCGGTGTTCAGGCATATGTAATACGTGACCGAACCATCTGTGTCGATGAAGATTCACAACCTCATCAACTGATTTATCATCATTTCCTGATACCCTGTGTCTAACCTCACTATTACTTACCCGATGATCCCAGCAGACGCGAGCAGTATTTCTAAGACATCTGTTGTCAAATACTAGTGTAGCTTACGAATGTTTTCTACTCTTAATGGCCATGTTTCGCAGCCGTATAGTAGAATAGAACGAGCTGCCACCCAGTATACTCGTCCTTTTATTGATAGACGGATATCTCGCCTTCGCCAAAGGTGACGTAAGTTGGCGAAAGCCAAACGAGCTTTTCGAATCCGTGCTGAGATTTCGTCCGATACCAACCCATTAGGGCTGATCAGACTTCCAAAATAAGTGAAGTTGTCAACTGATTCGTTTAGTATAACACCCCCCAAAAGTATGCGTTCACTAAAAGAATGTAGACGTACTCACTAGTGAATAACTTCATCAGATAATTCTTGGAGTTTTAGTTAGAAGCCATGATCAGTGAAACTAATCTATGTCAAGTAAAGACAGGTATCTTTCTCAGCACAATGGAAGATAGTCTCATAATTTCGTGGATTAGTTGAGGTTAGACAACAATACAGTTGGATGTAGGCTAAATGGTCTAAAGTTTACGTGTTCGTGCTCCTCCCGTGAGCAGAATTGCGGATATACGCCATTGAGGAGTTCCATTGGTGATCTAACATCAATCGGTTCATGATCCTAATCATAAACTTAATAATCTCCACAACTCTCTGCTGATGCAAACTAATTATTTTGATCTAAAATAATGCCTCTGGAATTTCTGTTCAAGTTTATTAATCTATTTGGTAATAACTCATTATATCTGATATTATTTTATAATGAAAACTCTAATCATAAATCTTTAATCCTAACTTAAAGTACCTTACCGTAACCGAAGATAATGTAGAGATTCCTAAAAATTTACTTGAGTCCTCACAATGTTCCAAGAATTCGGACAATCTACATTCATAGCGACTTCTATTAGACTTACAGACAGAGTAACCAGAAGAAGATAGCCATAGATTTATTATTAATGCAAACTCCTAACCTCAAATTTTAACCTTGACTCTTAATCTGAATCTAGATCTTAACATCAAATCCTAATCCTAAGCAAAATCCTTAGCTTAAACTTCAATCCATACCACTGACCTATCTATTAATCATAAATGTTAATCAAAATCCGTTTGTCCTCTCAGGATCCTGGAGTCCATGTGCACCATTGGTTTGAAAATAGGGTTTTCCAACCCCATAGTTGGATCATACGTGCCCACCAACCCGCCTAAAGCTCTGGACATCTGTTTTTCGTCCTCCAATTTCGTAAACAACAGTAATGCCGCGAGAAGTTAGTGAGTAGGACTTCTCAGGCAGTGGTTGTATGCACGTGGCCATGTGAGAGCATGTCGAGTGGAAGAACTGACTTTCACCACTCTCAGCTGTACCAGGGCATGCTTTAATAGTACCATTTTCTGTCAGTTCAGTAAGTGATTTTACAGTCAATCACACTAATTACAAAGAGGAAATATTTATCTTGTGTAAGATGATGATTATGTCATGAGATAATTGAATAGCATATAACTTGTTCTTATTTAAGTGGATGTGATTTTTATTTCATTAATGTCATAAGCTGTGAAAATCGTCAAACTGTATCACGAGACAAGTACTAACTTGGAATTCTGAAGGAAAGCGGGAAAGAGGAAGGTCAATGAACACACTATGTTGGGAATTGGAAGCAGACATGAAAAGGGTGAATAATAACTGGAAAGAATTGTCTAGGACAGAGTTGAATGAGGAATGTTGATGGGCGACCTATGCTCCTCCACGAAGGGTAACAAGCGTAAGTAAGTAGTGTCAAAACGAAAGTTACCATTCAAATTGATCTTACTGAAGGTGGAATACACAAATACCTTTGATCATATGTTACAATGAATTACTAACGGATAGTGGTTAGCAAGGGAATCCAAGAGGCGTCGTTCGACCGGTTCGGGTCACTTCAGTTGGATATACTTGCATTTCAGATTTGATATCCACCCTGGGACTCGAGCCCAATAACGTTCGCTTCAAATTCTATCATGTTATCTACTTAGCTAATTGCTCGTTCAGTGTGATGAAGTTCACAAGCATTCTAGGCAAAGATGAATAGTGGTAAGCATTGGAATCCAAGACATGCGTTTCGTCCTGTTTGGGACTCAGGAGCTGGATGTAACTGAGTCTCATGTTTGTTGTTCACTCTGAGACGCGATCCCAAATAGTAAAAAATGCGTGTCCTTAATTCCACTACTAGCCATTAATCACCTTTTCTTATAAAAAAGGGTCCTAATTTTATAATTTTATTCGTTCTTTTCACCATCATGTCATATTTCCCACTTGGGAGAATCTTAAATGCTATTGGTCCGTTGTATCTTTTAGTATGCTATTTTGTAACGCTTTCTAAGGACAGTTATGTGCTGTGCATATACGTTTTGATTTGTGTCTGTTGTTATCACTCGTGCTTCTGGATTTCTGTGGAATATACTTCCACGTATGGACTTCAACTACTCTATTTAGTTAAAGGAACTGTGACGCAATAGAATAGTTAGTTTATTGGTCTTTAGTCACAGAGTCTTTTGTTCCGTTCGCAGACTAAGTGAAGTGAAGTAATCGCTTCAACATAGCAAATTCTATCGACTTTTGATTAGTTAATTTCATTTGAATAAAATATATTTTTTTTATTGAGATCATGAACCGATTGATGTAAGACAACCAATGAAAACCTGAAAGCACTGGACGATCGTTTCGTTCTATCGCGTGACTCCTCAGCAGTGTGCACCCACGATCCCGCTCGCGGGATTCGAACCCAGGGCCAACAGTCTTGCCCGCTAACGCTTAGCCTACTGGACCACTGAGCCAGCCGGCAACTAATGGCGTTAGTGTCTAACCTCAACAAATTCACAAAGTTGCGCGACCATTTTCCATTGTACTGAGGTAGACACCTGTTTCTACTTGACACTGATTAGCTCCACTGGTCACGGCTTCTCACCAGAACTCCGAGAATTTTCTCACGAAGCTAGTCACTAGTGAGCACATGGAAATTATCAGGTTAGGGGTTGTAAACATTGTTAAGTTATACTGAAAGTTGATTACAGAAATTCCTTTGATCATATGTTACAATGAATTACTAACGGCTAGTGGTCCAGTAGTTTAAGCGTTCGTGCGCGATACTGATAGGTCCTGAGTTCGAATCCCGCAAGCGGGATCCTGGATGCACACTGCTTAGAAGTTCCATAATAGGAGGAAACGGCCGTCTAATGCTTCCAGGTTTTCGATGGTGATCTAACACCAATGGATTCATGATCTCAATCAAAAACTTAACAATCTCCACAACCCCTTAACTGATAAAATATATTCATTATCAATTATCCAATGAGATATGAACTTTCTTGGAAATGTTCCACAAATACAGATATATTCAGAAAGTCAGAATCATAAGTGAAGTTTCCAATTTATTTATTCATAATAACAAGCAATTACAATGAATGAATATATCAACAAGTAATCGTCAACAAGAACCCCGCCCCTCAACCCTCCCCAAATGATTGATTTCATTATGTATTAAGGTTTAATAGTATATGGCATATTATTACAAGTAGCGTATTACTTATTTAAGTAATAAGAGAAGAAAAAGAAACACATTCACAATAAGCATAAACATCCTATATGATGTTAATATAGGTAGATATGAGTTAGTATAGGATAGATGAATATCCAATCAAATCAATATTGATCCTAATGATAACAATAGTTGAGTGGTCGTCCATTAGTTCTAACCAGTTCAAGAGTTGTTATATATTGTCAGCAATGATGATGTCTTTGTTAAGAATCTTTTGTAATTTGTGCAATGAAAGGTTGTATACTTTTTTAGAAAGATACCTGAATAGATGATGAGACTAATGTATATACATATACATAGATATATCCATATATATCAATGAAGATACATATTCGATTAGAAAAGGATAAAGGGTTACAGTTGTGGAACTGTTGAAAGTGAAGATCAATATAAAATTCATGTTTGTTGAAGATAAAAGTATATTGATTTCAATGATGTAAAGGGTTGAGATGGTAGAGAAGATTTGTAGCTCAAGTGGATGATTCTGATGGAGTTTTGTTCTCTGAGCTGGATGGTTTGGTCATCCATCCACCTAAGAGAACAAAACTCCATCAAAATGGAGGGGGTATGTAATAGGGTATATGTTCATTAGAATTTCATATTCCTTTGTTGATTTCGATCTAAAATAGAAAGAAACGACAATATTTATATCAAAATATGGTTATGATATGTTTATTAAGGGTCTAATCTACAAGGTAGTGGAGCGACGTCAGGAAATGCAGTTACATGTTAGCCGGCAACGAAATAACTGGTTAATACACTTTTTGTTTTCTCAGAATCATGAAGTCTATGTACACTATTGGTTTGGAGTGAAAGTCTTCCAATTCCTCTGGGTGGATCCACTATATCCATCAACTCGGTTAAAGTATCGGACATTCGTAAACAACACCCCTTGGTGAGAATGCAGGAATTCCTTATCAGTGGTTGTATACATGCTAGGGTTGAAGCTATCACGAGTTCACTTAATCTGTGAACGAGAAACAAGATTCGGTGACCAAAGACCAATAAGCTAGCTATTGGTGCGTCCCAACCCCGCTAACTAGAAGGAGAAGTCCAAGCTTGGAATGGAAGTATATTCTGCAAACAGCCAGAAACGAGCGATTGCAACAAACGCAATTCAAAACGTGTATATGCATTACAAAACCGTCCTGAGATAGCGTTACAAAATAGCACGCTAAAAGACGCATCGGACCAATAGCATTTAAAATATTTCCCAGTGGGAAATAAGACATGAAGGTAACAAGAGCGCCTTTGGCGTGAGAACAAGGAAATTCAAATTTTCAGAATGAAATTACAAAATAAGAACCTTTTCCAAGTTAGTTCTGGGAATCTAACGTACCCAACAATACGCGTGGTCATTTGAGAACATTTCGAGTGGGAGAGCTGAAACCCCCCACAGACCAAACCACGTGGTTTTCTTAAATGTTTACACCCAGAGCCTTTGACCTGAAGGTCTGGTCCACAAAGCAGTGGAGCAACGTAAGGAGATGCAGTACCGTGGTGGCCGGTTGACCAACAATAGATTCATATGCCATTTTCCCCTTCAGGATCCTGAAGCCTATGTGCACCATTGGTTTAGAATGAGAGTTGTCCAATTACCCGAGGCGGGTTCCCCATGTCCACCAACCCCGTCAAAGCGTCGGACATTCGCTGTTTGGTCTCTCGATTTCATAAACAACATTAATGTCGTGAGAAGACAGTGAGTAGGACTCCCGTGGCAATGACTGTATACGCGTGGCCATGTGTGAGCATTTGGAGAGGGAGAGCCGACTCTCTCCACCCTCGGCCGTACCATTGCATTTGGCGACGTCTTAGCAACACGGCAAATTAATTGTGAAAAATCAGTCAGCACTACAGCGCTAAACAACTATAATATATTGATCACTACCTAGTGACCGAAAACATACAATTCATTGATTTTACTTTACAGGTATCTCCGGAATAACCTTTCCACAGTGTCATTCAGTCAGTCAGTAACAACGTAGAACTTCGTACGTACGTACATCAGTTCAAGTTAACATTCCACATTAGCACAGAGATGCAGTTGTTGATTCAATTCCCGTAGTGGTAGAGGCGGTAAGAATATAAGCAGTAGTCGGAAACATTAGGGTTTGAAGATGTTATTCAAAGAGTATAATGCAGTGAAATAAATTTGGAAAGAGAAAAAAGAAACAAGGAGGATTTAGGAGATTAGAATTTGGGAGAACACAAAGAGTGGATGCACCTGCGCCATTGCAAACGATTTGGAGCCATGTCATCCAAGGTCTTCAACCATCGGTTGCTATCATTTTGCGGATTCCAACCAGGTAGTTCACACCTGCCAACATGGCTTAGTCCACTTGTAAGTGACTTCATGGATTTGTGCCATGTTTCGGTCTGGTCGTCCATAGCTTTTCCCAACCTACTCCTACACCATAAAACATCGCACGTCGGGGCAGTCGGTGGTTGTGCATACGTAACACATGTCTCAGCCATCTCAACTAATGAAGTTTCACTACTTCATCAATTTATTTGCCATCCTTACCTAATACTCGTTTCTTAACAGTTGTATTACTTACTCGATGATCCCAGGATATACGAGCAATGTTTTGAAGACATCTATGATCGAATACTAGTAACCTACGAATATCTTCTACTCTTAGAGGCCATGTTTCACTGCCATAGAGTAGAACGAAATGAACTGATGCGCAGTAAACACGTCCTTTGGTTGATAGTCGGATATCTCACCTACACCATAAATGACGCAAGTTGGCAAAAACTGGTCCAGCCTTCTGTATCCAGGAATTAATAACTTCACTCATACCTCTAACAACACTCAAGACTACTGTCTATATTTAATTGAACCATCAATTCAACTATTGTAATACTGTAATCCTTCTTAAATCTTTATCACTTCAATCATTTATTTCACTCGTTTCCTTGACTCCTTATTCATATAAACTATCATCTTGCATAACTGATTGATCACTGGGTGGTGTCCAATGTCATGTGTGTCAAGTCCTTCTTAGTGCAGATCGAATGTTATCGACCATGATGCAATAAGGCCACCAATCTAAGTGACTCGATATTGCGTGCTCGGGTCCAAGGTTTCCTGTCGACTACTTCCCACCACAATCTAACTATCATCTTTCACTTACATTGATCATCATAATAACTATGATCATATATAGGTGATAAATATGAATTCGTATATGTTGAATAAACAATAGAATTTCCAATTGTTCTATGTAATGATGATTGTATATATACATCATGATTAAAAGGATCATTTGTCAATGTTCCATTCATAGAACTATTCAAATGATTAGTTGATGAATTTCTATGACTATTACACATAGAATTATAAAGATTTGATGTATTGAATGAAGTAAATTTTTGTCCGATCAACTGATATTATTATTATTATTATTGTTGTTGCTATGGTTACCAGTGTCATATGGGAAAGGTAATGAACAGATTGGATTTGTATGTAAATGATTGGTGTAATCAAAAGGATCATTATAAGTAGTATTAATAGTAGTATCACTACTAGTAGTAGTATTGACATTTAGATGATCATTTATTGATTGATGAATGATATTTGTATCTGGCCAAATTGATTGATTATTATGATTATTGATTTTCGATGAATATTGATATTTTTTATTGGTTGATAAACAACTAATTAGATATGGTTTCTTTAATGATTGATAATGATTTTTGGTGTTGTTGTTGTTGATATGATAATTGGATGATTGAATTTTTGTTTACAATAAGATTGTATCCATATCATGATACTACTTATAATAATAATCAATAATATCATGGAAATAATCAATAAAATCCATAAAAATTGATTCTGATGATGATTAGATAACCAAAATGTCATTGTTTTGTGATTCGAATGGATGATTGATTGATTATTGATTATCGATGGATTCAATGAATGAATTTTAATAAAAAATTGTGTTTCATTTGATGATAAAGATGGTATACCCATATCTTTAAGTGATATCTTGATATGATAGATCCCTTCAATAGGTGGATCATATGATGGATTCGTATCCATATTAATCATTGTGGAATCATATGCTGAATCCATGAACCAATTTGTATATAATTTACCATTCGATTCATTTAAATAAAAATATTGACTACCATTAGTCAATGGATTTAATTGATATAATATAGTACCATTTAAGCCATGATCTGGATCATAACCTTTCAATTGTATAACGAATGTATAAATTGGTGTATTTGTATAAATCATTATGGAATGATCTGGATCTGGATCATAATCACCAATAATACTATTATAAATAGGATATATACATATTGGTATATTATCATTTTCATCTAATATATTGATAGTTAATGTATATGTGATACTATTTATTGATTTTAGATTATTATTATCAGTATTATATGTAATAATTTGATAAAAAATTTTATTGATTTTTTCACGATCAATAATTAATTGATTAATCAATATCGCTTTTAATTCATATTCATTCATTAATTCATTTTGATTGATTTGTTTATAATGAAAATTTCTATCGGGTATAATTTTAATATAATGATTATATTGATTATCGATTGATTGGTTATCGATCGATGGATTATGATTGATTGTATTGATTGATTGATTATTATCTAATAATAAATGTATCATTGAATTTCTGGAATCTTTATCTAAATCAATTAAATGTATAAAATCAATAAAAGTATTGATTTTTTGATTTTCTTGAAAATCAATATTGATATGATTATTATTATATAATATTGGTAAATGATCATTAATATCGATTAATTGTATGATTAATTGTGTATGAGTAGTTAAATTTCCTTTATCTATAGCTAATATATTTAAATGAAAATATTCAATTTGTTCACGATCTAATAACTGATTATGTAATACTGTAATGATACCATTTAGGGGATGAATTTCAAATGGTTGTTCATATTCTTGTGGATGTCTTGAATAGTTTGAATGATCTGGATCTTCTTCATCATGATCATGATCATGATCATCATGATCATCAATGTAATTGAATGTAATTGATTTTAATTGATAAGTTAATTGTCCATATTCACCTTTATCTAAATCATAGGCTTTCATTTCAGTAATATATGATCCATCTGATAGATGTTCTGGTATTTTAATATAATATTTGGATTGTTTAAATATAGGTATATTATCATTTTGATCAGAGATAGCTACAGTGATCCGAAATTGATATAGATGATTCAATAGATCCTTCTCATGGGAGTGTTGTAAACTGAAATTTACTTTATTGAATGGTTCTATATCAGCTAAATCATAACAATCAATTAATAATGAAGCATATTGAATCTGTTCATAATCAAATATACCTTTTGTAAATATAAAAAATACAGTATCCGAGACTGGATGTAAACGTAAATAATCTTGACCAGCTAGAAGTTCTTTATCTTGAAGATGATTTGATTCAAATGGAGTTGGCTTACAAAGGATCTAAAAAGAAAAAAACACCAATGATTTTAATGAATATTTATTGATTTCGATTATGAACGATCGCGCTCGAGGGATTCGAACCCAGGGCACTCAGTCTCGCGCGCGAACGCTTATCCTAATGGACCACTGCTGAGAAGTCCTACAATAGGACGAAACAGGCCTCCAGTGCTTCCAGGTTTACAATGGTGATCTAACATCAATCGGTTCATGATCTCAATCAAAAACTTAGTAATTTCCATAACCCTTAACCTGATTATCTTATATATATTTGATGGAGTTTTGCTCTGTGAATTTGATGGTGGAGATTTCATCTTTCTACTGAATGACATCATCTGCAGCACAGATGTTAAGTAGAAGTGAAGTGTTCATATTTCTTCATATGTGATTCACAGTTTGTTCTGTACACCTTGATGTTGATTGGTTCTTGTTGATTTTAAACTCTTGATTGTTTACTTCTTTGTTTTGATTATATCTCCCATCGGTTGGATTTTTGTTTCTACGTTTGTGCATTATTATGCACATACTGATGATGATGTTGATGATATCTTTCAGAAGAACGATGAAAGTAAGACAACCAAACCATCCACCTCAGAGAACAAAACTTCATTAAAATGATCCACCTCAGCTAAAAATATTCTTCACCATCTCAATCTCATATATGTTAAGTTTTAGAATGATACTTGTCACTGATTCAGCGTACATGTTATAATATGCAGGTACTGTAGCGTATTAATACTTATTTACTTAATCACGCCTGTTGCTCCTCGTGGAAGAGCATAGGACGCTCACCAGCATTCTCCATCCAAACCTGTCCCGGGCAAACCTTTCCAGATCTTTCCAGTTGTTATTCATCCTTTTCATTTCTGTTTCTATTTCCCGACGTAATATATCATTTGACCTTTCTCTTTTCCACCTTTATTCAGGATTCTAAGTTAGGGCTTTCCTTGTGATACAGTTTGGTGATTTCCGTAATATATGTACTATCCATTTCCATCGTCTTTTCCGAATTTCCTATTCAGTTGGAAGCTGTTTTTCTCTCTCTCAAAGAAGGCTGTTGCTAATGGTATCCGGCCAATGTGTGATGAGTATCTTGCATAAACAACCATTTATAAATACTTGTACCTTCTTGATGATGGTTGTAGTATTTCCTCAAGTTTCAGCTCCGTGCAGTAGAACTAACTGCCTTGACGTTTGTATTGAAGATTCTGACTTTGATATTGGTTGAAAGTTGTTTTGAGTTCCATATGTTGTTCAATTGTAGGAATGCGGCCCTTGCTTTGCCAGTCCTCGCCGTTACGTCTGCATCTGAACCTCCTTGTTCATCGATGATGCTTCCCAGGTACGTGAAGGATTCTACATCTCCCAGAGTTTCGTCATCAAGTGTGATTGGAGTGATGTTCTCCGTGTTGTATTTGAGGACCTTGGTTTTCCCCTTGTATATGTTGAGGAAAACTGATGATAGCTTAATAATATGTAAACGTAATGATAACGGCAAATATTCAACAGTGGTTTATCGACCGAACTCACGACTCGTAAACCCGTACAAGCAGTCAAGATTCTTTAATGATGCTCTCTTGGTTTGAATATAACTACAGTTAGTACCATTGATGCAGATAGGATATCAGTTGTTATGATTTGTAGGTTTGTACTCCTATCAATGTATGATGTAACGATACCGTCCATTAGAGAACAGTGGTTTATTGATCGGACCAATGACACATAAACCCGTACGAGTAGTCTAGATCCTGCAACGATCATTCCTCCTGAATAGCCCTGCATGCCTACTGAGTCCAAGACGTCAATCTCAGCCTCTGCGATATAAACATACTTGGTTTATATACAAAGAAAACAGATCACATTCTACCATAAAATCGAAAACAACATTTGTAGATCTAACTAAATGTGGCTGTGAATGTGGGAGACTGTAATGAATAGACTGGGCATAACTCAAGAACGGTAAATCGTATAATAATAGTCTATGAGTCAAATTGAAGCTTATAATAAGAGACATATGAATATACATAGTTTAGTTACTTAACAATTTTCACAATATACATATATGTATCGTATTGGTCCATGAACAGATTCCAATAGTTACCATCCACCCTTCTCGTTGGGATAATAACAGTGTACATAATAAGCAAATATGGATAGTGGCTAGCAGTGGAATCCACATCCTGGAACGTGCATCATGGATTTCACTACTAGCCACTATCCATCTAAGCCTATAATGCTTGTGAATTAAGGGAATATCAAGGTAATATGCATTGTATGCCAATAAGAGTCTGATCAATTATAGTCATAAACATCAATTAGAAGATTCAAGTAAACAACACCTAGTGAATCCAATATATTGCAGTTGTTAATTAACAAAAGCTAAAAGCATAAATCACTAGAAATCAACTCGATGAGCTCAAAAAACAAGCAAACAAACAAACGAAGCACTCCATAATGAGAACTAAATATCTTAGGTTCGACTTCCGGCAAGATCATAAGTGTACATTGTTATTCTATCTTTTCCCCAATTCAAAACTATGAGAAAACAACATCAACAACAACAACGACAAACATGTAAACTTCTTTTCATTTGCATCTATTTCATTATAGACACAGGATAGTGTTAATTAGTTTCGTAATACTTTCATTCATCTTATTACAAATGTTTATTTCTCATAAGGTAAACAATTTCCGGTCATCTATGTTATTGTTATGACCTCTTCTTCTTCTTTATGGTCTTCTTTTAATAGAATCATTAGTCATGTTTATGAAGTAAGTGATTAGTTTATTGCGTGATACACATTCTCTAGGTAGAAAAATGTACATAGTATTGATCAATCTGTATACAAATCAATTTATCTAATATATTAGTATTAGACTAATAGGTTGAAAGTCTTAGATGGTGGTTGGAGGTAGTCAACAGGAAATTCTGGACCTGGCTTTCGTACTGCTTGGCACTCGTCGGCAAAGTCTACCTATAATCTTGATGGAACTGGTGCTCGCTGACGGATTCGATCCCGTGTCACCCCAGCTTCACAGTCAGAAACGTCACCGCTGTGCTATCCGAGCTGCAACCAACCTGTTTCCTGTCGATTACCCCCAACCACCATCTAATCTCAATGTATAATGCACGCAATGTCGAGTCACCTAGACTGGCGGCCAAACTGCATCAAGTTCGATAGGATTCGATCTTCACTAATAAGGACTTGAAATATATGACATTGATCACCACCCAGTGATCAATCAATTATGATTACATCTCAGTCCTAGAGGTGGCTGATAGCGGCCCAGATTGCTCAGTGGTAACGTCTCTGATTGTGAAGCTGGGTGACACGGGATCGAATCCATCAGGGACCACCGGTTCCCTCAAGATTACAGGTACACCTTGCTGACGAGTGCCAAGTAGTCTGGAACACGGGTCCAGGGTTTTCTGTTGACTACCTCACACCACCATCTAATCTCCAGCATTATGAATGCAAGATGCCGAATACGGGACACGAACTCAGTATTTTCGGCATCTAATAGTATTCATGTCTTACTTCAACTAATACACGAAATTGCGCCACCGTCCACCATTGTCTTAAATGAGTTATTATATCACAACAGATACGATTGAACTCCACTAGTCACGGTTTTTCACCAGAACTCCAGGATATTCATCTTGAATCCAGCCACTAGTGAGCACACGATAATTATTATCTGAAACGGTATTTTGTGGAGATTGTAGTTAATTTAATAGTTGAATTAATGAATCGATTAAAGTTAGACCAACTATGAAAAACTTAAAATCATTGGATGACTGTCTCATTCTAGTATGGGTACTCCACCTCAGTGCATAGTCGCGATCCGGCATGCAAAATTCACATCCAGTATCTCCAGTTTTCGAACACACAGGAATCATTCTCACGACCTGCGGTCTCCAAATGAAAACGCTTAACCTCTAGACCAATGAGCCGATATTACTATAATCTCCACAAAAACAACCTCAATCTTACTCTTTCCACATGGTGATTACAAGTTTGGAAAATCATACAATTTCCACCCCTCTATTTTGTTGCTATTCTATTGAGAACTTTCATTCGAATTAATGTCTGTTTCCTGGTTTTATAATTTTCCTAAAAAATTAATAATGATAACCATTAGATTATAATAACAGCTGTCATTTTGATTCGTTTTGTTCACATGTAGGGTTTGTTCTGGTTAATGTTTCTACTTTTTTTTGGTAAGGTTAATTTCTATGGGTTGGGGTTTAGTGACCCTATATCTAAGACATCCTCCATTTTGTTTTGTGTGGGCTTGGGATCGGTGATAGCCTTAGACGAGCTACAAGTGGAGTCGTCAACATGTATACAATCATAGATACTATCTATCTTGTCCAAATATAAATTGTTATTTAAGTAAGACAATAGATAACATAGAGCATTTTAGTTTGATGTTAGATGATTGTAGGTAATAGTAGTAGTAGATGGAATGTACCAGTCAGACACGGTGTATTTACAATTTAGATAGGAGTTGATACTAAACAACAACAAAAAGATTGGAGAGACTAGTTTATGGACAAACTATTCAGATTTACGGTAACAGGTTTTAGATATCGGCATGAAATTCTATATCTATCTTATGCAAAGATGGATAGTGGATAACATTGGACCCAAGTCACGCGTTTTGTCCTATTTGAGACTCGTCAGGTGGATGTACCTGAATACAGGGGTTGGTGTTCACTCCGGGATTAGAACCCAGTGCCGTTCGCTTCAAGCTCAATCGTGTTATCCATTTAGCTATTGAGTCCTGTTAGCCACATGCATGTGCACAGTATGCACATATGTCACTAAGAGAATGATGTGCTAAACACTAATGGGAAGATTCAAACAAGTAATACCAAGTAAATCTTAATCCATTTGGCTAAATGATGTCTTGACATTTTAGCTGATGTCAGTTTGTGATCAAAACTCCAAATCCATTTCATATCCCTAACTATCAACTGTAAATTACAATCGTTATTCTTTATATTGGATTAAAACTCTCATTTAACCGCAGTCAGTAAGAGGACATTCTCAAGGCCTCTTTAACGTCACTCCAAGGTCGTCTACAAATTATAGTCTCACCAGGAGGTCTAAGCACCTAATTTATACAAATATCGGAAAGCTTTTTTGAATATTATAGTAATTTCAATGGTGGAGATCGTGAGTCAATTGAAGCTAGACCACTATGGAAAACCTCGAAGCATTGTACTGCCGTTTCGTCCTATTGTAAGACTCCTCACCAGTATGTCAGCTTTATTCTGGTCAAAGTTATTTATTCTAGGTGTTCAATGTTTATTATTAGATAAATAATTAATAGTAAATATATGTTTCTTATTTGAAGAATTAATTAGTGTGAAATTCTTCCTTTATCTTTCCTTCCCCCCCACACGCACCTCTAATACTTTTTCATTCTGTTACCATCTCACACCTCATCCTCACCCCCAGTGAATGCATTCGATGTACAAAGAAATAAAAATCATTCTATTCTAAACTTAAAAACGTACAAAAGATGTCGATCGTTTTGATGTCAACTCATTGATTCATTCCTTCATTGAATTTCCTTAACTTCAATGAATCATCCTACTTCTCACAACCATCACCTATTACCACCACCACCACCACCATCATCATCACCATCACCCTCATCACATACAAAATTTCATTCATGTTGTACGATTTTTTTGCTTTTGATTATCCTTTTAAACTTTTTCTCTTTATTCAAACGGAATTCCGTTTATGCACAAAGTGTAACGATGTAAAGTAAGCAAACAAATAAATAAATAAAATTTTGTAAACAAATGAGGTAAGAAAGGAAACAGTATTGATAATCATATTCAGAAGAAGGAGAAGAAAAAGAGGGAGGAGGAGGTAGAGGAGGGGGAGGACAATAAGATTGTGTTGGTAACAAAGGTGAAAAGAGAAAAAACATTTCACACAATCTTCAGTTTTCTGTTTCCTCATTTTTACCACCACCATCGACATCACCAACACCACCCCTATTTAATCTCCGTTTATTTCGATCAATTTTGTTTTAATTTCAACTATGAAAAAAAGAAAAAAAATTTCCTAAGTCAATTTTTGTTTATCCTTTTTTCTCTGAGTCTCTCTCTCTCCGTCTCGGTTTTGTTTATCAATTGATGGAGGTAAAAGTATTGAAATACTCATGTCATTTCTAATAGATATACGTTCGAAACTCGCGGGGAGCGGGATCGTGAATGCGCACTGCTGAGGAGTACCATACTAGGGAGAAACGGCCGTTCAGTGCTTTTAGGTGTTCCATGGTGATCTAGCTTCAACTGACTCATGATTTCAACCAATGAAAGATAAACTTATTATTGAGGAAATAACATTTCATATGAGCTGAATTCTTATTGGCTGTTATATTATCAATCAATATATTGATTCTATCCAAAGATGGATATTGGCTAGTAGTAGAATCCAGTTTGATGATCGTTCTGTCCTATTTGGAACTTGTCAACTGGATTCATCCGCATCTAAGAGTTGATGTTCACTCTCTGATTCGAACTCAGTACCACTCGCTTCAAACACTATTGCGTTATTCATTTAGCTACTGAGTTCTAATAGTCACTTTCTTGTTCAATGGGGTGAAGGTTGAATTCACTTGATGCTGTTATTCAATTGAACGATTCATTCATACAATCAAAAAGTCATCTGTCTTGATTTACTATATGAGCAAAAATAGTTTTACAACTATCTTTACATTCACTTGGTATTAATTACGTGAATCTTCCGATTGTTGTTTAGGACTGCAATTGATCAGTCTTTCTTATTAGCATATGTGCATCCTGTACGGATTGCCTCAAATCACAATTATCATAAGCGAAGATGTATGGTGGCTAGGAGAGGAATCCAGGACAGGTGATTCATCCTTTTTGGGACTCTTCAGGTTGGTATACCTGCATTCCACAGTTTATGTTCAATCCCGGACTCGAACCCAGTGCTGTTCGCTCCAAACGCCATCGCATTTTTCACTTACCTAGCGAGTCTTGACAGTCATTTGTGTTTGTGTAGTTGGGTGAATTTAAAATTCCCTTATTATTTTTGTTTACTTGAATCTTCCCATTGATGTTTACCACTGCAATCGATCAGTCTCTTATCAGCATATATGGATCCTGGACTTTTCCTTAAGTCACAAGTACTTTTAGTCAAAAATGGATAGTGGTTGACGAATCTCAAATAGTACGAAACGTGTATCTTGTATTCTATTGCTGGCCATTATCCATCTTTAATTATACATCTTCACATGATCAAATATTCTTGATGTGTAGTAGCTTAATATGAGTATCCTAATCTTCGATTTACAAATATACATGGTAAGCAATTGATAAATTTATTTTTCAATTAGAAGTAAACACAACAAGACCTTGAGTTAGGGAACTCGACTTTGGTCGATTCCATGGAATAGTTTGGTTTAATTACCATTCTGTCCTATATCATCTAAAAGTACTGGAAATCCCATTAGATAAACTTATCCAAAGAAGGAATATAGATGTATAAAAAAGAATGTATCATTCTATATTATGATCTTTGTAGTTTACATTCCAATATAATAAACTATTGTAGTGAGGCTTACATTTATGGACAGCCTTTGAGCGACGTCAGACTGACCCTCAGAGTGTGTCTACCTAATTACTAGGATCAAATGAAAGTTATAAATTACTGTGAGGTTAAGGTCGCTGATTAGATGTGGAGGGTTATCATCATGAACTAACAACAGCTAAACTGTCATTAATCTATTTAACCAAACGGATAAGTGGATTTCGTGCGAAAATTCAAGATCTGTTTTCTCATATTTGATTGATTCATCCATAAATTATATTCTTGTCACTATTGTTAATATCAAAACAGTTCTACTGTATGGAGCAAAAACGTGAAGAACTACAGTTATCTACACACAATACTTCATATCCATTGACCAGACACTATGAGTAGCAACCTACCGTGGGAGAGAACAAACCAGATCCTTACGGAAGATCTGGTAGGCACATATTAAGGAAAGTACCCAACTACCTTACAAAGCAAGCCCTCACTTAGAAGAAGAAGAGGATCACCAAATAACACATTACGCTGAAAAATAGGAACAAACATGAGAAGAATAAACAACAATTCGATAGAACTAGGAAGGAAGGCGAGACTACAATTTATGGACGAGTCAATCAGAAGGGTTTGAGGGATTTCAATTTCATGGCACCAATTACAGTACCTGATGCTCACATACGATCGGTTTACAGTGAATTTTAGAGAAGACGTAATAATTGAATGGCTACAACAGATGAGACTACTAAGAAGCGAAAAATTAACAGAGGATGTAGTATGAAGGAATACTTGGTAAGCAGCACTTCAATAAATGTACCTCACAGGCACTTCGAATTTACGACAGATCAACCCAAAAGGGACACTTCCAAAAGGCCAGAAACCGCCAACAACGACAATAATACCAATTATACAGGAATATGTGCAGCCGAGTACCACAATATATACGGATGATTGAAGAGCCTACCGATGCCTGGATAGACTTGGATATGTGCATCATGTCGTTGTTTATTAACGCCATTTCGTGGACCGAACAACAGGAGTTCACACTAACAATATTAAAGGTATGTGGTCCACGCTAAAGGAGTTTTTACATTTCTATCATGGCTTGAGAGGTCGACTATTACACAGCCATTTCGATGAGTTCCTCTGCCGTATGTACTACGATTTCAGAACCTCTTGAACTCTTTTAAACCTTGATAAGTTTTTGAATCACGTAAAAGAAGAATATCCACTTTAATTCTTTAGTCTTTTATAATAGCATTTTCACTTTATACTAACTGTCTTCTGATTGGCTAACATTTCTAAAGGTCAATCAAGATTCGTTCAAAGGTGATCTCACCGAAAGGAATGCTCAAGACAAATTAGGTTGAATGAATTACTAGTGGGTGACCTCTACTCCATGAGGAATAACTTACTTTCCCATAAGATACTTCATCTTCATCTTTAATATAAAATCGTATTATTGGTTTTGTAAATATATGTCCTTCTGGTATCGTAATATTCTCTTGTATCATTAATGTTGGTACATTATCATTGATATCTTTAATTTGAATAGAAATGGATGTCGTACAGGATAATGGTGGACTACCAGAATCCTTGACAATAATTGGCAGCAAGAATTGGCGTTCAGAATATACTTCATAATCTAATGGTTCACGTATTGTAATCGCACCATTGATTGAATCAATATGAAATTTCATTGGAATCAAACTATTAGCTAATGGACTAAATGAATAGATTAAACGACTATTCTCACCAGAATCAGCATCTGTTGCATTCACTATATAGAATGGTTTATTATCTAATGTTGTATTCTCTGGTAATGTGATATATTGTTCTATGATTGTAGATTGTTTAATCGCAGGGGGATTATCATTCATATCTAATAAACGAATTATAATTGATAACGAACCAGTAAGAGATGGATCACCACCATCAATGGCATAGAATGTAGCATAGATTTCACGATCATCTATATTTTCATAATCTAATGATCGCAGAAGTATCAATTTTGGATTGATTGAATGGATATGATCATATGTCATAGTAATATTTAATCGAGGTTCTTTCACAAGATCTCCATTATTTGTATATTCAATGAGTTTATACTTCACTATACCATTGAGTTCAGAATCTGCATCTGAAGCAATAGGTAAACCTTCAAATCCATTTGTATCCCCTTCACGTTTATAAATAATAAATGGTCTATTCAATAATTGTTGAGAACCATTTAATGAATCATATTTCATCATATTCGTTGACATAAAAAAACGTGGTGGATTATCATTTGCATCATTAATTCGTATATATAATTGTATCATCGTTTGTTGTTCATTAGATTCATTCAATTTTATCGAGTTTCGTCTCAATTCTTCTTCATCTTCATCAGGAATACGATGATCTTTCATGAATGAATGATTCACTTGATTCGAATCATGTTTCCAATGAGTAGTCCATTGTTTAGTTAAAATGATATTCGCTTCAATTTGACATACGAGTAATGGACAACAATTTAATGGACCACATATATCATTTGTATTATCACGATCAATATGGCGTAACGTGATGATATCACCATTGGATGTAATTTTGATATAATCATTTATATATTGAAATTTCATTGATGTAATGAATAAGTATGTATAGTTTCTCATAGAACTGAATGATAAATTTTCTGCTATATTACCAATTAATGAACCAGTTGGTGTTTCATCAGCAAGATTATAAATCATGATTGGGATTTGAGAACTACTTATAAATGATTTAAGTAGTAAAACAATTATAACTAAAGTAATTGGATGATAATGATGATATTGCATCATTGATTAATCTTCTTGTCAATGAATATAATTGCTTGAGAAGTAAAGAAATCAAATGGATAAAGGAATAGAATAGAGAATACTAAGTGAGCAATCAATGAAAACATTTTCAGCTCAAATCGATTGTAATTAGTGTCTATTGTTTGGAAAGCACAAAAGATCATGATCCCACTAATGTATATAATATATAAGATTATATACCTTTGTGGGATAGGGTAATGTTACATTGGTGTTTTAGGAGAACCGGACACTGTTCAGACGTTCATGTGAAAACTTGTTCAGCATAGCTCAATCCCGCTTGATGGGAGAGAACGAGACACCATATAGGCGTTAACACCATTCTTGAGTTATCCCCTGCCTATCACTTACTACTTCCCTCATTCACAGCCAATTTGGCTAAATCTTGTACAAATGTTGTTTCGTATTTTGTGGTACGATGTGGTCTGTCTGGTCAGTATATAAACCCAGTATATTTGAAATACGTGATTCATATTACAGAAGCTGAGACTGGTGTTCTGGACTTAACTGACTGGGTTAGGCGGGAAGCAGGAACAATAAGGACTCTAGACTGCCCGGTCGATAATTAACTGTTCTCTAATTGGCGGTATCATCACGTTATACATTAACAGGGGACACAGGCAACAGGTTATAACACATTGATGGCGTAAATCAATGATGCACAGCATGAACAGGCCAACGTTGACCTGTTCCACTTACATGACAGTCAAACTCATTAATGTCAGCAATGATGATATGCGTTACGATGTTCTAATGACAATAACCCATGAGAACACTGAAAAGCAACCACCAGTATGAATGAAATCGGTTAACCAGTAAACATTTAGATCGGACGATGTTCGTTGAAGGGCTCAGCATTTTAGTGGCCCGTGGATCTGACCCCTATTTAGATCGTATAAACGTTTGCTATCGCCTATTCTCGTATATAATCGTCGACTTAAATCACACTTGTAGGTTTGTACACCTATCAATGTATGATATAATGATGCCATCAGTTATTGAACAATGATTTATCGATAGAATCTATGGTGCATAATCTTGTACGAGCCGTCTAGAGTCTTTATGAATTCTTCTTGTTGACTAGCCCTGTCTACATCTTAAATCCAGAATACTAAATAGTAGATTCTACTATGAGAATCATCCATTTCGAACATACTGAGTTCATAATACATTTGCAGCCAAACAGACCATATCACACAGAAAAATAGGAAATGAAATTAGCATAAGATCAAGCCAGATGTAGCTATGATTGTAGATTACTGTAATGAATCAACTAGGCATAACTCAAGAATAGTAAATCGTATCATAATAATTCATGGATCAAATGAAAGCTTATAATAAGAGGAATCTGAATATACATAATTTAGTGAATAAATAATTATACATTAAGAAATATCTGTATCATATTAATCCATTAATAGATCGTGATAATGATCATCCTCCTATTCTCATCGACATAAAACAAAATCAACTAAATATTTATCTTTTAATAGTTGGGTTCATGATTCAGCTGAAGCTAGACCACCATGGTAAACCTGGAAGCACTGAACAACCGTTTCGTCCTATTGTGGGGCTTCGGAGCAGTTGTGAGATAGTAACTCACTGATGACAATGGTGGAAATGTTGCTCGATTTCGTGGATTATTTGAAGTAAGACATTAACAACGGCGGATGCCGGCTCAGTTTTCTAGTTGGTTAAGTGCCTGGCACGAGACTGATAGTTCATGGGTTCCAATCCCACGAGGCAAGGTCGTGGGTGCGCAATGCTGAGGAATCCCATGATAGGAGGAAACGGCTGTCAAGTGCTTCCAGGCTTTCCATGGTGGTCTAGCTTCAATTGACTCATGATCTCCACCATTGAAATTACTATAAACTCCACTAAACCCCTTCTGATACTGAAAAATTTATTAATAATTCAATGAAAAGAAAAAAAATCGATCGTTCAAGCAATCCGATTTGTTTAAAGGAGAAAAATGAAGAGAAAAACAAAAAAGAAAAGAAACGTGTCACAGATTTTTTCAATTTATTTATTTATTTTTTATCAAAATTAATGATCAAGGTTAAAAATTTATTCTTTATCTCATAATGAAATATTGAATATTGAATAAGAGAAAATTTTAATGAATGAATACACGTTATGTATAATGATATTCGTTGATTGTTATTGAATGAAATGATCTTATCAAGTAATGCAGAACAAGGATATCACACATTGAACTGATTGAGTGAGTAAGTGAATGGGTGAGTGAGAGAGTAAGTGAATGAGTGAATGGGTGAGTGAGTGAGTGAGTGTGTAAGTGGGTGTGTGTGCAAGTGAGTAAGAAAATAACTCCATCAGGCAAAGATGGTTAGTGGCTAGCAGTGGAATCCACGACATGCGTTTCGTTCTATTTGCGATTCGTCATCTGGATGTACCTCTGTATCTGGATGTACATCTCAGAGTTGATGTTCCGGGACTCGAACCCATCTATTGCATTCTTAAACAACAATGGGAAGATACAAGGAAAACAATACCAAGTGATTGTAATCTCTTATCGTTTATTTAATAAATTCTACAGATCACAGTTGTATCAAAGTTGTCTCTATGAACCGTTTTAGCTTGATATCTAAAGGTATGAGGCTAGAAATCTTTGTAAAAGTGTATGGATACTGAACTATTCAAATGAAGACTTTCAAGTGTTAGGTATATTTTTCTCTTTATCTATCATCAGATAGAACGAGAAAAGTGCAAGCTCTTTTAAATTCATACATTGTAAAATGAAATGGCATGTTAGTTTTCTAAGGGATGGAATCGCTAACCGTATGCTCAACCCTCTTCCTTTATCCGGGCTTGAGAACTGTAGTAGTATAAGAGAGGCTCTAGGAGAAGTTTTGTAGGGATTACAGTAAATCTAATAGTTGAATTCATGAATTAATTTAAACTAGACCATCTTTTAAACCTTAGTACAAATGTGCATCGTTGCAAGATAGAATATCACCACAGAGATTTGAAATTAATATTATGAATCGCAAAAAATTTGGAACAGTACTTTAGTGTGTGCTACTGATGTTGACAGATATAAGTAGTATGTGTCTTTAATCGAAAGTGAAATGCCTAGCGACAGAAAGTTAAGAAAAATCGAAGAGAAAAGTATGAGAACGGAAAGTGAATAGTATGAAAACGAAGGAACAGTCAAGTATGAGACGATTGATCGGCATTTGGCAAGCGAATTATTTACTGTATAGTTTTGTAGATCAGTTTAGATTATTATGATCACTTATTATCTTATTCATTCAATATATGAACTTATCTCCCATGGAAACCATCTTTCTTACTGGTGAATTATTGATTTTCAGTTTAAAGGTCAAGAGAACCTGATTTCCAAAGATTGAGAAGTTGTCAAAAAGTCAATAAATAAACATTCAAAAATCTAAAAATTTCAATCATATTCAATCATTAAGCAACAATGTTATCATACAGGTATAGATGAACATGGTATTAAATAAAGCGAAAAAAGGGGGGAGTCGGAAGTGGGATAGGTGAGAATAGAATCAATATTTTTAGCATGTAAACTAAATTTACGAGTGAGAGAGAGAAAGAGGGGGGAAGAGATAATACATCAATTGATTTTATTTAAAAAATAACATAAGAACTAATAATTTCCTGTTTCTGTTGGTGTTGTTGTTGTGGTGGTGGTTGTTGTTGTTGTTGCTATTGTAGTAACAAGACATATATATATATATAGAGAGAGAGAGAGACAGAGAGAATTAACTAATGAAATTAATAATAGTTATCATGAATTCGAAAGACGAAATTAATCATTATGTGGTTTCTGCCAAAATAATGTGTTTTCTTTCTTTTTTTCTTTTCTTTCTTTTCTTTTTTCTTTTTGTTGTTGTTGTTGAAATTAGATCACGCAATATTTATATCTGTCATATATATCTATGTGTGTTACTTAGAAGTTGGATATATCTATATAAATGACCAGTGAATAGGTAACATGTACCTCCCTCTTTCTTTTTATATATGTGTCTAGAATGGAAGTTTAAAAGAAAACACCTAGCTTAATTATCTATGCAAATATTGAATGATGTACAAGCAGCAGCAGCAACAACAACAAACAAGCAAACCCAATTAGAGTATGACTTAAATATATATTTTTTAAATTTTTGATTAAGATCATGAATCGATTGATGTTAGATCATCATTGATAACTTGAAAGAACTGAATGGTTGTTTTGTTCTAGTGTAGGCTTGTTCAGTAATGGATTGATTAAGGTTGAACATCAACACAAATGAATGTGGTCTCAGTGGTTTAGAGGTTAGATGTTCGTGTGTGAGATTGAAAACTGTGAGCGGGTTCGTGGATGTGTGTTACTGGAGAGTTCTATAATAGGATGAAATGGTCGTCCAGTGCTTCCAAGTTGTCAGTGGTGGTCTAGTTTATATTGACTTATGGATTCAACTATTAAAATGATTATTGAAATGATATTCATATTATTCTACCATGATTATAAATCGTATTGTATTCAGATGAATTAACCTTATCTAATGTAAATGTTGAATAATTTAAGAAGATCCGTACTGATTAGTCTATGATTACAATCCGAATAATTCGATGGTATTTCTTCACGATCAGATTTGATCAACAGTCAAATAATTCCAGTAGTTGAATTCATGAGTCGATGTAAGCTAGACCAACGAAGGAACACATGGGAGTCCTCAGTGGCAATGCGTAACCACGATCGAGCTCGCGGGATTCGAACACAGGACCTATCAGTTTTGCACGCGAGCGTTTAACCTATACGCTAGTGAGTCGGCTGGCATCTCACAATGTTAATGTCTAACTTTCATCGATCCATGAATGGCTGCGCAACCATTCATCCATTTAACTGAGGTACATTTGTCCCTACCCGATACCGATCTGACTCCATTGGTCACTGCTTCTCACTAGAACTTTAGGAAATCTTCTTGGAGCCAGTTACTATAAGGCACATGATGATTATTATCAGAATGCAGTATGTGGAGCTTGTAGTAA